GGGTGACTCAGAACTTCTCCAGGGAATCAATCACACGCAATTTACAGTTGTCTCATTGCCACGCACACCCACCCACCGTTAAAAGAACATTAAGGTTGCAACGTCAAGCGCTCAAAAGTTAGGAAATACCAGAGTTAATGTTGCCCCTACAGCCTCAATTTGGCCCATTTGCGCATATGTGTTATGAAAGTCTTTAACTACATGAGCACCATGCTGTTTTCTCCACAGGACCCCTCACATTCAATGCACTGGCTCAGCCTGCTCTGGGAATGAATCAGGGTTGTGTAGTGAAGGACACTTTTCTCTGTAGGTCCTCTGCTTCATTTCTTGCAGAAGTTGGAGGTGTATAGTGAATGAGGTGAGGATGGCTTCATGGTTAAGGCAGCTGAATGCCACCCTGGAGCACTGGATTCTCTCTCTGCCTCTGCCACAGAGTGCCTGTGCAATGCTGGGCAAGTCACTTGAACAGACTTTCCGCAGGAGGTCAGTAAGGGTGTGTTCCTCGTTTTCAGGGTGCCTGGTTTGAGACTCTATGGGCTGATTTGCTGAAATGCTGAGCACTCACAGCTGCAACTCAAGTCAGGAGCTGCGGTTTGAACAGATAAAGTGCTATATAATGGGAAGCACTCAGAAACATTGGGTGCTAGGTCTCTCAAACTGGGCACCCAAAATTAGTGGATACTTCTGATCTTAGTCTCTCTGTGCCTCGGTTCTGCATCTGTAAAATGGGGATAGCACCTTCTTACCTCTCTCTGGGGTGTTGTGAAAATAAATTAATGTTTGTGACGCATTCAGATACTATGGGGATGAGAGCCATAGAAAAGCCTGTGTGGAAATTAATTCTGGCTTCAGAGCAGGGTTTAAACACTGTGCAGTAAATGAGGCCTGAGGTCATGCATGGAATGACATGAAGACAAAATATTGAATAGTTGTTCATTAAAAGAGCACCATCCATCCTGTGCACTGAATGAAGCAGAGGGCTTGTGAGGAAAAAAGTATGTGATCATATAATTAAAGACTGTATCATAATGCATACACACATGGGGTCTTAATTAAGGTTGTACAGGCAACCTTAATTCTGGCATTTCCTAACTTCTCACAGTGCAACCTTCATAATATTTTCCCCTAGTTTTGTGTGTAATTTCCTCTGTTTGCAGGAGGCGGGGGGATAGAAAAAGGAAAGTGAAAAAAGAAATTCCATCATGTCTTATCGCCTTTAGATCTACCACACAGATCTCTGCCAGTTGAGCTAGGGGAATAACTGAGAGCAGTAGTAGGCTGTCATCCACTATGTGGACCAGCACCAGAGGGAAATGAAACACATACTTTGCTAGTGAGTTTCACAGGTAATTGCTGACAGTAGAGGAATGGTGAGACTTTGGGATCTTGGGTTCCATTCCAGACTCTGGAAAAGACTATTCTCTAGTGGTCACAGACCCTTCTGTCCCCTCCAATTTTTCACTGTCCTAGTCCTATCTCTTCCCCATCACTGACTCCCCATCCCATTCTCAGTCTCCACTCCTCAAGCTTTTTATCCCAGATCCTATTTCCTTTTCCAACCAGTTCTAGTCACTGCCCCACTTCAGCTCCCTGTCCCAATTTCTCTTTCTCTCCTTGTCCCCTTCCCTCAACTTTTCTCTACATTCTATCCATGCACTTTCCTCCTCCTCCTCCTCCATACTGGACACCAGCCAGGAGTCAGTGAGAGCACAGGAGAGACAGAAGCTCTGCTCATAGTTCTGGTTCCTTGCCCCACCCTGTCCTGGAGCAGGTGAGAGCTGCAGTTTCAGGAGCCTCCTCAGCCCCTGCAGCCCTGGGCTGGAGCATGCTCATCTGCTCTGTTGGGATGGCACATGTGCAATCCAGTCACACGAAGGAGCAGTGGGGGGCTGGCGAATGCTTGGTGTGGACAGAATCCTCAGGTTTTAGGTGACGCTCTAACAAGTCTCTAAGAAGCATGTACGAAGGGAGATTTTTTTCAAAGGCTAATAGTTTGGCCACATTTGTGAAGATGGTGATGGGAATAGCAAAAGGCATATCCTGACAGAGGCCACTCCTTGGTCCCTGCTCTGAAGTGTAGGGGTGCTGGACCTTCTTAAGGAAAGGGTTGCATTATGACTGATTTATTTTTAACACTGGCGAAGCAATGGACTTTTCCCTCACCTCATTATCAGAAATAGCTGAAACCTACAAATTAATTAAATAAATAACATAAAGCCTGAGGAGGACACGTGGCATGGAAAACTTCAGCCCACATGGTTAAAGTTCAGCAAAGTTTTATAAGCAACTGGAAACAGGGTCTTAGAATGGGACATGTAGCCAACCTTAATAATAGGCAGCACTCACAAAGATGCCTGTAATGAGTTATGGACATCAGAAATGCTAAATTTTTCAGCTGAGGGTAAAGGAAACAATATACCTGGTAAAAGAGAAGGACCTTACTTCTTTCCTGGCTCATATCTCTGCCAGTGTTTTATGGCTATTCTGAGATTTTTCCTAAATTTAAAAAGAGGCCATGTCACAGACAAATGTCCTGGAGGGTTGAGACTTGGTGTACCTGATGGGTACAGGCTCTGTACTCCATGCTCCCAGAAGGCAATGCTTTTAATTTTGTTGGGGCAACATTTCATAGGGCACTCTTTCCTTTTATGAAATCTCATTTCGCTATCTATGTAGCTGCACCCGTCCTGGCTGTGACAATAGTGTATCCGATTGCAGGGTTCTCTTGGATGGTCATTCTGGTGGTGGTGAGTCATCTAGGATGGTGCATACCCATTTCATGCTGGTAGCTGGGGCTGTTAACACATCTCCAGGCTGCTGAGAAGTCCTCCAGTTACCAGTAAAAGCCTGTGGGAAGTGCTAGCCTAGGGGACGTGACTGAGTTGGAATTATATGTAACACTTCTTAGCTTTACAGGAGTGGAGGCACCATAGTTAACAGAATCAGAGTCTTCCATTTGCTGCAAGTACATCTCTGCCTCTTCCTACGCTTCTGCTCCCTGGCCAGAGCTCACTTGAATGTTTCCAAGCCCTGTGCTCCACCCCCGGGAAGCTCAGAAACTCTGCAGGAGCTTAGTTTTAGCCCTGCCAGCTCCCGAGCTTCACAGGAGTGGCACTCCTCTTGTTATCCCATAGCTTCACAGAAGACATCTGAAATCTTTGGAGGATCAAGTGTTGACCTATACCAGGGCCGTCTGTTACGGATGCTGAATTGGATGAAGGAAAAGTCTGAGTCTAGTGGGAGAAAGGATTAAAAAGGAGAGGCAAAGTGGATTGCTTTAGGAATTTGCAGTGCATTTTACTTGCCAGTTGTTTTCATCAGGGTTGGATGCTGGGTGTGTGTATGTGTGTGTGGAGAGCTGCCTATGCTAAAGGAAGTGATAGACTAGTCATTAGCAAACTGCGACCCTCTGTCACAGGGGCTTATGAAATAAATGATGATCGTACTGAAGCGTGAGTCTGGCGAGAGAGCCTTTCGTGCTAATTTAATAAATTGCTTACATTTAGAATCCCAGATTGTTGCTGTTACATTTTTGCTATGTGATGCCACATGGGATTAAAAAGAGGAGGGTTGGGGGAAGGGGAAAAAAAGCCCAGGTCCTTTAGCTGGTGTGACCTCACTCACTGTCCCAGGGGGGATATGAGATCATGAGAATGCCAGAGCTCTCTGAAGGATTCGATTTGTTCAGCACAGCAGGACAGCCTGCCAAGTGATCTCATCTCTGAGACCCAGGGGGAGGGTGCTGGCTGCTGCTTTCTTCCTGGACTGCAGAGGATTGAATCCCTGCGCCCCACCGATGGCGATTAATGACAGCGACCTGTGATGACATCATCAACGATATTGTTACTGTGATGCACGCAGCAAAATTCTAGGGGAATTTTTCCCATCCCAAATCTTGACATCTTGAAATTTAACTTTTCAGAGTGTTAACGCCATGACATCTGATCTGTTCGTTTACGTTTACGACCCCTCATCTCACCCCTTTGCCCTGGCATCAATTCTTCCTTCTAAACTATGAGTGACAACACAAAAACAAATCCTCCTCAAGGCTGGGAGACCCAAAATTAGATCCTACTTATGTGACCAGCTTCTCGGTGCTGCTATAGAGTGAAAGAAAATGTGGTTAGAAAACGTACTTCTGTTGCAGCCTCCCGGGGTTATGAAAAACCTGGAGGTAATCAATGACGTCTTGATGGTGTCCTTTGTAAGAACAAATGGTTTCCAATCTAGAGGAAATACCCAAGATGAGAGGATTGTTTCAGTAGAGGTTTAAAAAGGGCATAGGGCCCATTCCTGCAAGGTGCATGGCTCCCTAATGTAGAGCAGTTAGTTGGATGAACTCTCTCTCCCAATACAATTCTTAGGAGGATTTAGCAACTCTGAAACTAAAGGTTGTATTTCAGAGCTGGTCTTTGTGTCTCAGAGTTTGTATGTGAGACCAGCACACACTGCGCAGAAGGGAATGCTGGAAAGCAAGGGAGGGCCTGTTGCAATTTGATTCACCAGGATTCTCTGCAAAATAGGGAGGCCAAGCTGATTGTACAATAGTAATTCTCTGCCTTCAGCATAGTGGTGGGACCAGGGAAAGTGAAATATGTCTTTGTACTCCTCTTCCTATTTGTTAGTATTATTGGTCATACAACAATGCCTACAAGCCAGTGCCTTGTGGGCACTATACAAACATATAGCAAAGAGTCCCTGCCCTGAAAATCTTCTAAGTGTAGGACTGTAGACAACAACTGGATAAAACAAACTGCTTGCGGGAGCACAAGGAAGCAATGAGATGATACTTTTCCCTTTCTGGGCACTGAATTAGATGACAGTGAAGAGGGCAATAGTTGCAACTCACTGATACTGGTGTGTGCAACCATTAGCAAAGTGCCTGAGTGGCTAATGGACATGCAGGACTCCTCAAAGCATGAACTCTTATGTCTGAGCCTCTCTTTTCTCCTTTTGGGCCCCTGGCAGTGATGATGATTTGTATCATTTATGCTTTACAGGGAAAGTTTTATCTGGTTATTGAAGAGCTGAGCCAGCTGTTCCGCTCGCTTGTCCCCATCCAGTTGTGGTGCAAATACATCATGGGGGATGATCCATCCAGCAGCTATTTCCTAGGAGGGATCCTGATCATACTGTATAGTCTCTGCAAGGTAAGGGGATGCCTGGTGAGTAAACTCTGTACACGGCAGCAAAATCCCTGATTTTTTTTTAAATAAGCTCTTTTAAAATGTACTAGTTTAGATATAACACTCATGGGGGCCATATAAGTATCTGAGCACTTCATGCTCTTCAAAGTATTTTATCCACCCAACACCCATGAGAAGTACTATTATCCCCACTTTGCAGATGGTGAAACTGAGGCTCAGAGAGATTTAAATGAGTGGCCTAAGGTTCTACAGGAAGTCTGTGTGGAGCTGGGAATTGAATCCTAGTCTTCTGAGAGTGTGCCTACATGAACAATTAGACCTCAGCAAGCTGGGGTATGAATCCTGCCCCTTACTGGCCTGCCACTGTCTGTCAGTGGGCACCGTGCTGATGTACGTTAACAATTCCTCAGAGCACTTTGCTCTAGCTCCGAGTGCTCTAGCTAACTGTTCACACGCCTCAGCAGGGTCCACATGGACAGTGAGACCACAACAGACTCGTGCGAGATAGATTTATAGCTTGCCACGGTCTAAATGTTCATGTAGACAAGCCCTGTGTATCAGGCTGGCACCTTAATTGCTGTATCATCCTTTTACCCGTTACACTTATGAAAGCAGCCATGCTTAGTTATGTGCCTGTGAGGACATCATACTAGTGCAGCCAGAATGAGAGCTCTGACCGATGGACATAGTTTTATGGCAGATACTGGATTAACACCACTGGAGACTGAGGCTGGCATCCCCACCAGCACAATGGATCTTGTCCAGATGGGAAGCTTCCTGGAGTTTGCCGTTGTTCTTAATTACAATAACCAGGCTCTAGGGCAGAATTGCATTTACAAGCATAAATGTTAGGTCCCAGACTAAGAGATGGACAAATGAACTAAATTTCACCCTCTTCTGCAGGCGGTTTCTGGGAGAGGTGTGTGTGTATAAGAGAGTTTCTCATCTTCCTCTCTGCTTTTCACTCGAGGCAAGACGAGGGAAGAGAAGTGAGTTTTGCAGTTAGTTCTGAAGGATGTAAGGTCCTTAGTGTGATTCTCACCATTGCCTTGAGGTGGTTTCTGAGCAATGTGTGTGCCCCGCTTTCATCAGTCTGACCTATGCTGCTGATGGTTTTCTTATTCCTGTGGAACATAACTCCCAAGGGAGGTCTTGCTCTTGGGTAATTGGTCTGTTGTGATGGATGACCTTCAGGATGAGGACTGTGATCGTGGCAGTTACCCAGTTCTGTCTGGGGAGCCAGTGCGGTGATTCGAGTGCTGCAGTGCTATGTTCTTCGTGGCTAGTGTTGCTAAGGAGGCGAGCTGCTGCATTCTGGACGAGCTGGAGTTTTCTAAGGTCAATGTGTTCGAGTCCAATGAGTTGTGGTAGCCAACCCTAGAAATCACAAAGGCATGGATTGCTTTGCCTGGATCCTGGACAGACAGCCCCTGGCCAATTACAGATGGAAAAAGCTGGTTTGAGCAGCTGTAGCTGTCCAAGTATCTAGAAGCAGTGAAGAGGATGGGAGACAGTCTAGGGCCTTGAGAGACTTTGCAGATGAACTGTCTGGTAGCACAAGGAGAAGTTGCCCATCACCATTCTCTCTGAATGCAGCCTCAGAGGAAAGATTGCAGCCAGCTCCGGGTTTCCCCATCAATCCCTGCTCCTCCTGTGAGGCAGAATAAAAGTATAGTGTAATCAACAGTACTGAATACAGAAGGGTCTAGTGCAATGGTTCTCAACCTATTTACCATTGTGGGTGCCCTATGCAGCCCTCTCTGTGTTATGTGGACTGCATCTTGTATGGCCCTGAGGATGTCACATGGGCTGCAGCTGTGTACTGATTGGGCCTGCAGGTTGAGAACCTCTGGTCTAGTAATAGGAGAATAAGTCTTTTCTGCTGCCCCCATGTGGACAAAATGAGTAGTGCCATTTCCATTCAGTGTCCTTGCCTGAAACCGGGCTGATTAGAGATCCAGGGGCTGAGTGGTGGACAGATGTAATTGAAGACTGCTCTTGGCATGCTTTCCATTAGTTTGCTCAAGAAAGGCAGGCTGAATGCTTAGCTTACAGCCTTCTCTAAACTAAAAAGGTGCATCACTGATTAAGTTAAAACAGTGTAAGCCTCTTATGTGGACACTCTTAAACCAAAATCAGTCTGTCCACATAAGGGGGCTGGACCAATTTAACTGGAATTAGTTTTTAAACAGATTTTCTTAAGTCAGTGCAAGTTGCTCAGCTAGATATGGCCTAAGTCTGTAAAGTCCAGAGATAGCTGCTTCTTTGTAATATATTTGTATTGCCTAGAGAGCTCCATTTGTTCTAGGTATTGTACAGACATTAATGAGGGACAGTCCCTGGTCTAAAGAGATTACAAGACAAATGGAGAGAGGGGAAACTGAGGCACAGAGCGCTGAAGTGATTTGCTCAAGGTCATAGCAGGTCAATGGCAGAACCAGGAATAGAACCAGGACTCCTGAGTCCCAGTGCAGTGCCTATCCACTGGCACACACTGCCTGCCTGTGCTCTCCACTGTGCTTTTGGAGGACTGAACTGTTTCATGTTTTAGGGTGGTAGGAAGCTTCCCTACACAAAAGTGGGATTGAGTGTAAGCTTCCAGGAGGGGACCTAAGCGATCTTCTGTGTCCTTCCTGCACCATGTGGGGCATGGCTTTGAGTCACGCAGTGACTCTGATTTCCTGTAGTGTTTTAGGTGTCTCTTGTTGTGTAAATGGGCAGCGCCTGGGAAAGGGGAAGGGATGTTTCCAGTCTTGGGCTCCTCATATGGCTCCTGTTGTCTGGAGAGAGCATCCCAGGTTCAGGTCATTCTTCTTTATGGAATAGGCTGACATTTCTCCACAGGGTGAGGTGCTGACTTCTGAGGTAGCTGGATGGCAAGTTGGATTGATGAAGCCATTGATTGTCCTGAAAAGTTCTCCTATTTTGTGATTTAGAAGCTGCAGTATCGAAGGAGAATAACGATCTACTGCCCTCCACTGTGGCTCAGGAGTAGCATTGCAGGGCTCCCTTCTGTTGAAGTCTCTCTGCATATGTTGTTAGCGTGCAAGTTTCTTTCCTTCCTGCTTTATTCAAGGACCTTGTTGATATACAAGGGCTCTGTGGTGGGAGGAGAGACATCAGTGCACATACTTCAGAAGAGCACCTTTGTAGCAGATCAGGACCTTGCCCCCCTGCCACTAAAGCTGCCCTTCTTTGGCATCTTTTGTGAATTCTTCGCTTGCATAATTCTGACTGCCAATTCTGCCCTGTCCTGCTCATGACACTGCCAACGCATGGCTCATAACCAACAGCAGAGGTCAGGAATGGGAGGGAACTACCCGGCCGCTTCTGCTGTAAGCAAATATCTGCTACCTTTAACCATGAAACACCTGTTTTAATCCTAAATTCCTGCCTGCAACCAAGGCCTCTAGCCTACAGCCTAGTGTTGGGAAAAGCCAAAGAGGTTGGCAAAACGTGGCCTGATTCTCCTCTCATTCTGCGCTGAAGTAAGTTGGGAGTAACTCTGTTGAAGTCAGTAGAGTTAAACCAGTGTAAGTGGGAAGATAATACAACCCAGTGGCTGAGAGTCCGGAATCATTTATGGTGCCCCTAGTGTCTGTCAGCCATACCCCAAATCCTGGACAATCAGGCTAGGGATTTCAGCTCCCCTTTCACTGGAGACACTGTGTGAGAGATGTGGACTGGGAGAGGGAATAGGCTGGTATACATTTCCAATACAGTGCATGGAATATTAGATGCTCAGATCCCATTTACAGTCACAGGAGTTGCAAGTCTAATTCTTTGCCCGACACACTGAAAATATACCCCTAGGAGTCCACATTAGCAAAGCCACAAACCACATTAGAAAAACCACAAAAGCCTATTTGGTGCTCAGACCTTCTGTGCTCTTGGCAGAAATCCAGGGCTTAGCTTGGACTGTATCACCTCTCCAAGGCAAAAGGGCAGGCTCGAGTTATAGGGAGGTTGTGTAGAGCAGCTGGCAGTGGTCACCTCAATGCCTATGGCTGACTTACGTGTAAACACAGGGATTGTTGTTGGTGCGGGAATCCCAGCTGTTAATGTGCATGCACGCCCATGTCTTAATGCCCTACCAGAGAGAGGAGTTCTGCCCAAAGTTCTATAGGCTTCACTTGCATAGGAGAGGAGAGGGGTTGGGAAAACAGTTTGGAAGGGCTGGCTCACCGGCCTACAGGCAGGAATTTGTATTGCCAAATCAGGGACCCTGATCTGAGCCCCATCCAGTCTCACTCTCCTTGGACCAGTGGAGGCTGAAGGTACTTGGTGTTGCTTTATGGCTGCCCTTCCAGCTCATTAAGGAGCAGCACTGGCTAGCTGTGAACAGAGGTGAAGCAATTCCTCGGCCAGAAAGATGGTGGCTGCAATTTAGATTTCAGTGGGTGGCAAGGGAAACACACGTTGTAGGGAGGATGCTAGAAGAGACTGTGGGGCCCCAGCAGAGATACAAATAAGCCCCAGAGAGAGAGAATGGGGTTGCGTGAGAGAGAGCTGCTGCTACCTATCTAGGGATCATTAACTTTTAAAGATCCGTAACAGTCCGCAGCCTCAAGCCCTAGGAGCTGACTGGAAACATTATGGAAGGACCTTTGGAGCCCTTTTATCTGCTGACTGGAAGCATTACTGCTGCCTGCATTTTATTCCACATCTATTGCATGGTGATCTCACAGGCATTCTCTGCAGAGAGCCCACTTAGTCACACTAACCAAAAAGAAAAAAAAACCCTCACACAAAAAAATCCAGTGTTTCTGATGTGTGTGCATATCCTGTAAGTCTAATGCAGTTCTTCATATTAGGTCTTTTCCTTGCCCTCCCACTCGCTTCGTATCCAGACAAGCTAGAGATGGAAAAGTCCTGTTATGCCATGCAGCCCCACTCCCTGCTAATGCAGAGCTGTTCCCTATGGGGCCTTTTCTCACATCTTGTCTAGTCTAGTTTGCAGTATGGCTTTCTCTATTTGTCTTGGGAGATTGTCCCACAGGCTGAGAGATTAAACTCTCCGAAATGTATCCCTGATGCTCTGTCAGACTTTTCCCTTTCTTACCTCTACCCTCACTGCTATTTTTATGCAAAATAATTTCTCGGCCTCCTTGAGATATGTAGACAGGTGTCGTGTCCCTCACCACACACACTCACTCACCTTTTGTCACACTTAGCCATGCTGTATGTATTTAGATCCTTTAATCTTTTCTCAGAAATCAGGCCCCGCCCCCATTTTTGTTGATCCTCTCTAAACTCCTCCCAATTTATAATGAAGAGTCCAGAAATGTTCCATGTTCCACCATGTTCCAGATGTGGTCACATCAGAGGTGTCGAGAAAGTGAGAGAGACTATTTTGTCCCCCTTCCTCTAACGTGAAGTCTCTGGGTATGCAGCTTAAAGTTATAGTCCTTTTTATTTACCATATTGCAGTGACCGCTCATGTCTGTTTCTCTGCTCTTTGTCGCCCCTAAGTCTCTTTGGGTATTACTGCTTCCCAGGCTCTTTCTTTCCTGTGAGTATTGGTTTGGAGAAAAAGACCCTAGATGCTCTCCAAGTTACAGGACTCTACGTCTGTTATAACCCTGTGAACAGTGTCTAAAGCTAAATGTTTCTATTGCAGACTTTTGACATCTGTGGCCGTGTGGGGAGTGTCCGGAAGGCACTGAAGGTCCTTTGCACCCCTCAGGTAAGTAGTCAATGTGTGTGGCCAGGTTGACGTGGGAAATGTTGCCACAAAGGAAAGGTTCAGTAAAGCATTGCTCAGGGTGCCAGATCTATGGTACTTTTGAAAAAGACACCCACCACCCCATGGCTGTGACGGGTAGCCCTACCTAACTTTTGGGTGGGGAAGCAATTCCTGATGTCTTCCCTTTCCCAACAATGTTAATGAAACAGTGCATGGCGGGTCTATTGCAAGATGCTGCATCCCTTTTCTGGAAACAGATTGACAAGTATGTACGAGATGTGATGGTGAGAGGTGCTGAATAGTATTGTTTGATGCACTGAGTCTAATAAAACGGCGAGTTGCCGTTTGTGTGTGTGTCTGTGTGAGGCAGAGACTTTAAGACATCCCCTGATGTGCAGTTTTATTAAAATAAATACTACCGTATTCGCCCCAAACATGGCAACGTTCAGTAGTGTTATGGTGGTATTTACAGCCACTGCTGGAGAAAACTGTGGTTATTATCTTTTATAGTGGCTTTTCTGCCATGTGGAGTATAGATATGGGACCTAACACCATGGTACTTTCTCAGCACTTGGCATGGGCACTGTGTATGTTTGGAGACAGTGTGGCCCAATGGATAGGGGACTGGACTATGAGTTGGGACACTTGACTCTCTCATCATATGGTTTTGGGCAGGTCACTTCACCTCTCTAGGTTTCTGTTTCCCCATTCGCACAGTGCGGGTAATGACATAAACCCTCCTTTTTATAAAGAGCTTGGAGGTCTGTGGATGAAAAGTGTTTTGGGGGTTTTTTGGAGGTAACTTGTTGATAATAATACTTAGCACTTTCCAAGCACCTTCTATCAGTGCTTTGCAAACGATATTGAACTAATCCTTACAACACCCCACTGAGCTCAATAAATATCATTATCCTTATTCCACAGCTGTAGACTCTGTGGCACAGAGGGGTGAAGTGACTTACCCAACATCCTGCAACAAAGTCACTGTGAAAGCGGGGACTAGGACCCTCATCTCCAGACTCCCAAGTTCTGTGTATCCGCCACAGTGCAGCGATGTAACTTAGTTTCCAGTGGGCTCTTGTAAGTGTAGAAAAGCTGGGCATGAAAAGAAGCATCTGTGTGCGTGTACAAGAACAAACCAGGCAATCTAAATCCTTTTGCAATGAGAGGTTTTTCTTCCCTCTCCCTAACAGACCTATGGAGTCCGTGCAACCAGCCAGCAGTGCAGTGAGGCTGGAGACATCTGTGCTATTTGCCAAGTGGAGTTCAGGGAACCTTTGATCCTTATGTGCCAGGTAAGAACACCAAACTTGACAAACCCGTTGTGGGATCAAACTTAGCCTTGTCACTTCTAAACATAGCATAGAAATAGACATAGTATCTCTGTCTAGTGCCCAGTGGACATCTGTCCAAGCACCCAACATAGCATAGACATAGATACTCCCCTGCAGAGCCTAGATTATAACCAAGATCCCCAAGTCTCTCCATTCTTCTACTGTCAGCAAACATCTGTGAAACTTGCAGGCACTGTGTGTCTCATCCTTCTCTAGTGCTGGTCCACACAGAGGGTCAACAGACCTGGGCTAGAAATAGCTGTGTGGACAGCGCTTGGAAGTTGCAGCTCAGGCTTTGAAGCCAACCGCCGTCCGTAGGCTTCAAAGCCCGAGCTCTGGCTGAAGCTGCAACTTCAAAGTGCTGCCCACACGGCTGTTTTTAGAGCCCTAGCACGAGCCTTGCTGTGACTCACTCCAAAATGTTGCCTAGACATACCCCTAGGTTTGGAGAGCCTGGCCCGCACCTGGAATTGCACTTTGAAGAGAAGAGATAGCTAGGGCAGAGCACAGAGCCCTGCTGTTATGCACCCAGAGAGACATCCCGCACTGAACTATAGTTTGGACAGGTGTGTTTCCATTTCTTCATTAAGAGATGCCGATGTCTGAGTTATTACCTGTGTGGGGCTAGTGTGCTCATGTTTGGGTTTATTGTTCATGCAGATGGGTGAGTGAGATCCTACAGGTTGCTCCCTCCTTCTGAACTTGCATTGCTTCCTGTACCAAAGCTTTTCTGTTGCATCCGGGCACTGGGTGACGGGGTTGTTCCCCTCCCCTCAGCCTGACGAGTCCCTTTTTCTCCACAGCATGTGTTTTGTGAAGAGTGCCTCTGCCTGTGGTTTGACAGGGAGAAGACCTGTCCCCTTTGTCGCTCCATCGCGGTGGAGACTCTGCGCTGTTGGAAAGATGGTACCACCTCAGCTCACTTCCAGGTTTATTAACCACAACACATACCACCATCAGGATGACATGTGAGCAGACAGAAGAAAAAGCTGGGAAACTCCTTGCTTCCAAGTATTTAGTGGGTTGTTGTCCCGGTCTTTCACGCAGCTCTCTCTCTCCATCCAACCAGGGGAGCAGGTTGGCATGTTGTTACGTCTGTAGCAGGGAGCAGAGTCCGTTAGCATGAAGAGTTCTCTAAGGAGAGGGAAGGGGAGTGGGTTTTCAACTCTTCAGAGTCAGAATCCATCCCTGCCACTCTTCACTGCTAACTTGAGGCCGAGGTCCTTGCTGTCTACAGCACAAATTACCCCAGGCTAGCCCCTCTTTGTCTGTTATCTGAGTGTACATAAATGTCTTGTTTGTAGGGAAAACATGATGAGAGTTTCCCATTGTATGTGTGTAGTCCATAATATTGGAGGAAAGCTTTCCTCAACTGACTCATGAGAGGACAGCAGACTGGAGTTATGTCATTAAACAGCCTCCTGACTCCCCAGAATCTGTCGTCATAAAGTTACATGGCCACTATTATATTACCTGGGGAAACACTCCTTCAGTACCACTGGTTCAGAGGTTCATTTAGGGTTTTGGGAGAGGCCGGTGGCCGATAGCCCTATTGTTGTCATTGATACCCTAAAACATGTGGGTTGCCATCTTGATCTTTCTGAAACCTCAAGAGAAATAGGAGAGGGCCATACTAAAGAGACCACGAGGGGGTGGCATTTTCTCAGTTTTGGAATGTTCCATCTTTAATGTTCGTGGTCAGATTACCTGCTTCCTCTGCAAGTGGGAGAGCATGGCGAGATGGGGAGAGATTAAAGCCAGGTCTGAATTTTACTACAAAAGCTCAAGTGCTAATTGAAGGCCATGTCCGGAGGTGGCTTTCTCAAACACAGCCCACAAACTCTATAGAGTTAATTAAAAAAAAAAAAAAAAGCACCTCGTGCTGTTTCCTGGGGATTGGCTTTATTTAAAAAACAAAATGGCAATCCAATAACATATAGTTTAGCTCAGAACTTTCTTCCTAGGCTTGGCTGTTACGAAGGCTCCTCTTTCGGGGCTGCTCAACCCACACTTGATCCTCTCTCTGTAGGGAGTCAGCAGAATCCACCTCATTGTTTCCTAGCAGGATTGATGCCTGCTAACAGGGTGGAGCGTTGCATGCAAATGCTACCAGTCTGTACAGGCATAAAGAATTTGGAGTCTTTCGAGCTTCATTTGAGATGTCCAAAGACAGTCCTGTAGCTCATCTTAAGATTTCTCCTAGATCTAGGGTATATATCTGGATGTGGCCAGCCTGCATGCAAACAGACAATATTTCTAAATTCCCTATCACAGTGACAACTCCTCTAATAAAAGCAATTAGTGGCCCCCTCCTTCTATGAGGGCTGTGTGAAATAGATGCAGGGTGCATTTTACTTGAGAGTTTGTTCATTATGAGGACCCTGCAGTCAGGTTCCACTATCCAGGGTAGACTGGGACAAACTTTCTCTATTGATAAACCACATCTCACCTAAACAAGCAAATGCCTCAGCTTCAGAAAAAGCTTTTTAAGGACAGTGGCTTGTACCCTTAATAGGCAAATGAACAGACTATGTGCTGGAGTAGCATGAGTCTGTATTCTGCTGTCACAGTGTCTGTCGAGAATCTTACGCTGGCACTAGGATGCAAATGGATTTGATGTTTGTTCACTGTGTCTCAAGCTGGAGCTTTCTCTTTCACTAGACAATTTACTTTTTGCTGAACGCACAGAGAAATGGCTTGATTAAGCAATCATGGCATCTTCCATGCTCATTACTGTGGAAATGGCCGTAAGGTTACAATCCCACTTGACTGGATAATCAAGCAGGAAGAACTGTATCTCAGGGAAACAGGGCTGCACGTATGTATTGGTTGCTTTCCTCCCCTCCTACTGTAAAGCCTCCTTGGGGGAAAAATTAAAGCAAACAGGAGCTAATGGCAACTGGGTTTTGTCTTAACTTTCCTTGGAAAAAAATAGGACAAAGGAGAAATGATGCAGGCAGAATCTGAATCAAACCTGAATTAAGAGAGAGCTGGGATGAAGGGAGAGGAGTATAGGCTTTGCCCCACAAAATGCGGTGAGGTGCCTTTGTTAAAAGCCTCTTTAGAAAAGCATGGACTAAGCCAAACAGTCCTCTAGTTGTCTCCAAAGGAAAGGTCCCTTAGATTCTGTAAGAAACAGGAGAGATTTCCAACTGGCATAAAATTTTGACATGTGTATCATAGCCTGGGTGAACTTTTATCTGGGTCGAATGGCAAATGGCTGACTCTGCAAGGAAACACAGGTGAATGTAGTATGAATGGGTTCGGCTTCAGTTCTCTTTGTGTAATACCATTGAGTGAAACTTATAGGTTAATATGTAGTTTCTGCTTTCTAGAGTCTCAAGGCTGTTCTGAAAACCTGGTTCCAGTTAGGAGTGACTCTTTGCTTGCCTTTAGGAACTACTGCAAAAATCTGTGTTGTGGGGAACGATAGTGAAGTGCATCAAAATGTTAATAGGAGAAAGATTAAAACTACTGATGGCATTTGACATTCTGATTGTAAATAAGATTTTTTTTGTTTAGTGTTTCCTCCCCTGCCATCAATAGGTGCAAGATATATCTGTTATTGGTCTTTTCTCTTCTCTTCCCTTTTTTCCCCCCTGACTATTGTCTTCCAGCTGCGAACATGAGAGTGAATTAGCATCTTAATAGTAACTTGATAGGATTAAAACATTCCACTACTGCCAAAACACTCCAGAAAAGCCTAACACAAGGCTTGATACTACTGCTCACTGGGGGGAATCTCTCCGTTTGGTTGAGGCTTTCAGTAGAATTATACACCTGCCATAACACTCTAATTTGCTGGGAGATGTGAGCGCCTTTTCTCCATCTCTGTGCCTCCTCAAAGTGCCCTATTGACTCGTTTCTCCCCTCTGTTCCAGGCCTGTATTCTAGCTTCAGAGACATGTGCATGGTTCTCCTATGTTCTATTTCAGTACATTAGGCCATGATATGTGATCAGACCGCCCTGAGGGAGCGAGCCATGCTAAGCTTCCAGTGTCTCTATAATTACAGAAGCACATGAGGGTTTTGGTCTGACGCTCCTGGAGCCTGAAATGGAGACTCCCTTTCGCTACAGAGCAGGTGCAGAGCTAGCCGTAGCAGAGTAACTCTCTTCATGCTGATTGCTGCCAATGGACTTCAGTCCTGATGTGGAAGAGCCATGTCTGGAGGTGAGAGACTAGCTCAGTCTCCTTGGACCTTCCTCCTCCCTCCTGAGATTGTTTAGTGCCACGTATAGTGGTGTTTTTGTACTGTGGGCACTTGTTGCACATGAAGGGCAGAGGTCAACTCAGTTCACATATTCCACCAAACAGCTGTGGGTCAAATACTTTTTTTTTTTTTTTGGTCATTATCAACGTGTGCTGGGCAGCACAGAGGTAATGGGCTCTATAGTCTATTAGCAATTCCTTGAGCTGCCCTGTCTCATATTAGTTGTGGTGATTCTTATTCATGGGGCAAAAGAGTCTTCGCCTCTTCTCAGACATGGCATTTAGCCTTCCAGAAGGTAACACAGGGCCGACGCCTACTCTAGTGAACGTCAATGGCAAAACTTTGATCGATTTCAGTAGGAGCAGGAGCAAGGTTGGGGAAAGAATTCATAGTAAATGATCTTCTCTATTTTGGAGAGAAAATAAAAAGTAAGACCTTTTCTTCCCAGTGAACAATTGATTTTTTTAATAAAGTCATTACAAATATGTACAAAGAGTCTCCAGCATATGAAATTCCTTTTACAAAAGAGGGAAAGAAGCCATGTCCATCTATACACAAGAGCCAGAACTAACTCATTGCATCTGCAGTAAGCACATGCCTTGCCTTAGCTTTGGTGTGGGAAGGAACTTGCACGGTTACTCTGTAGGGTCTTTCCTGTACCCAGTCGATTTGATGCATTTCACGTTTTTTAATCTGTTCGCGGAGTGTGACTGGGAGCAAACTGGAAAACTCTCAAATGTATTCACTCTTTGAAATTCCGGGTGAATTTCTTCAGCAAATAAACCGTGGTCTTCAGATTGATCTTAAAGAGTGTTATGAATATGATTGCAAATTAAGTCAGGGGACATAGTTTCTGCTCTCTGACCGAATGGCAATAATGATATAATATGGCCTGAAATACTGAGAGTCCCTTATACAGTTTGAAATCTACTTTTGGTGAATATTCGAACCTTAAGCTGAAAACTAACTTTTCACAAATATTCGCAGGCCGGTAAAACACAGGTGCTCAAATACCTGCGCTGACGGTGTACGGACATGGTTATATCAAAAGCCGCTTTTGCATTTGAGTGAACAGCGACAGAAAAAAAATGCTGTTGTGTGCTGAGCGCTAATAAATGGCACCAACCTCTTATATTACGGATACACTAACTCCACAGTTTGTAGTAGAGCTCCCAGCTCTGTCCCACAGCTAGTCGTGGGAGATGCTGTTCCTTAGAAGACCTGAGGGTGGAAAGGACTTTGGGCTAGGTGGCGGTGGTGATCATTGCAAAGGCAAAGGGAGCATTATTCAAACCAGCAGGAGAGAGGTTAACCATGATGACAAGGGAAGTGCCTCATGCTGGATGCAGAAACATGCTCTGTGTGATGAGAAAAGAGGGCTCTGGAATACGGGGTTGTAAATTCAATCCAGAACAGACTGGGGAAGGGGAATAGACAGCACATGAGGATTCCTCCCCTCCCTTTAGAGTACCTGATATCCTGGCATTCTTTTGAGAAGGTGAAGTCATTGGGAATCATTAAGAAAGGGATAGATAATAAGACAGAAAATACTGTATTGCCTCTATAAAAAGAAAAGGAGGACTTGTGGCACCTTAGAGACTAACCAATTTATTTGAGCATAAGCTTTCGTGAGCTACAGCTCACTTCATCGGATGCATACTGTGGAAAGTATAGAAGATCTTTTTATACACACAAAGGATGAAAAAATGGGTGTTTACCACTACAAAAGGTTTTCTCTCCCCCCATCCCACTCTCCTGCTGGTAATAGCTTACTCTGGTTGCCTCTATATAAATCACTGGTACCCCCACATCTTGAATACTGTGTGCAGAAGTTGTCACCCCATCTCAAAAAAAAAGATATATTGGACTTGGAAAAGGTTCAGAAAAGGGCAACAAAAATTATTAGGTGTATCAAACGGCTGCCGTATGGGGAAAGATTAATAAGACTGGGACTTTTCAGCTTGGAAAAGAGACGACTAAGGGTGGGGGTTATAATAGAGGTCTATAAAATCATGACTGGTGTAGAGAAAGTAAATAAGGAAGTGTTATTCACTCCTTCTCATAACACAAGAACTAGGGGCCACCCAATGAAATTAATAGGCAGCAGGTTTAAAACAAACGAAAGGAAGTATATTTTCACCCAATGCACAGTCAACCTGTGGAACTCCTTGCCAGAGGATGTTGTGAAGGTCAAGACTATAACAGGGTTCGAAAAAGAACTAGCTAAATTAATGGAGGATAGGTCCATCAATGGCTATTAGCCAGGATGGGCAGGGATGGTGTCCCTAGCCTCTGTTTGCCAGAAGTTGGGAAAGGGCGACAGGGGATGGATCACTTGATTATTACCTGTTCTGTTCATTCCCTCTGGAGCATTGGGCATTGGCCACTGTCAGAAGACAGGATACTGGGCTAGATGGACCTTTGGTCTGACCCAGTATGGCCGCTCTTATGTTCTTAAGTCACCCATTGTTCATGCTTTAAGTGGGTTTTGACTTTGATTAACATGGTCATAATCAATCATGCCAGTGTTTTCAAAGCTTCTGTCCCATGAGATGAACAAGATGAACCACATACAGCAGCTTGTATAGATGAGGCTGAACCACAAAGTTTGCCTCCAGAATTAAACTTGTCCAAAACTTAGAGGGATGTGAATGTGGGAACATGTTACAGAGGTAGGGTCTAGCTGTGAAGTGTGGCTCTGTATCCAAAATGCCACAAGGTTTGGTGAGTTTGGATCCACGGTTTTGGTTTGGAGCTCTCCCTAGTTCTGTTACAGTTAACAAGTGGGCTTTAGCCCACGAAAGCTTATGCTCAAATAAATTTGTTAGTCTCTAAGGTGCCACATGTCCTCCTTGTTCTTTCTGCTATCTTCTCTAAGCTGTTCATAAAGAAATCTGGAAATAAATAAAATTGGGTCTGGCAACATGAGACCGGGTCCCATTATCAACACACTTTTTCTACAAGGGAAATTGGCTTCTCAAGAGAAGGGTTTCCTGCTGCCTCACTTTTCTGTTCTCCACCAGCTCCCACAGGGAGATGCTTCTTTCTCTATCTCCTAGGTTTCTGGTGTGAGGAATATGGCTGTAGCAGCCCTTAGTCAAGTGTTTGCGAAAGAACAGAGAAAGTGCCTATCTCTAAGGCCCACTCTACACAATGAAGGGATACCCACTTAACTAAATCTGTTTCTAAACAATTTAGTTAAATACCTGCTGCCCTCTTTCTGGAAACTCTAAAATTGACTTGAGGGTCTTGTCTCTATTTAGTTTAAGGTGGTAACAACCAAATTAAGTTTTTTTAAACTGTTCGAAGGGAGCTGCGCTGATTTAACTACACTGATTTAGGGAAAGATTTAGTTAAATTGGTGCAATTTCAATGTGTACACAAGCAGTCAGTGGATCAGTTAAGCCTCATCAGCACAAAACTATGTATTTTGATGATTTCCTCTGCCTCCAAATGGTAACACTTGTTCTAGGACACAAAAATGTAGGCGAGCACAGATAGTCTTGTAATATAGAAGGGGTAGAATGGCTTCCACACCTTCCCTTTTAGCTGGTGAAAAGCATTCCAAGAAAGAGAGTAGAAATCTAGAAACACTAGATCAGATTCCACCCTGGGTATAACCCCACTGACTCCAAGTCAATGGACTTACACCAGGAATAAATTTGGCCTAGTGATGCGGGGGATGAGGAGGCAGTATTATCCTATTCTTAGCTGCATTTCTAATTTGAAATGTGAAGTTCCAATAAGCCATGGGATCTATCTCATGCAAGTGCTGCTTTAAAAATTAATAAAGACTTTCTTCACAGTCACATTATGCAGCATTCCATACAGACTATGATCTCATAACCTTCTTCCCTGGCTTGCACACACACTGTCTGCTGAAACCTAAGATGAGGCCTTTTTTTCATTTAGAGAGCACTCCCGCTCTTCACAGAGGCTCCTCTGCAGAGCTAATCAAAATCAATGGCTTCTTGGGTGCTGCAAAAAGGAGAGGAGGGGGGAGGGACCGTGCAGGCTTCCTTTACATTCGGAAAGTACAACCCCACCACCACCATCTTGCACAGTCCTTGTAATGAACAAGAACAATGGTGGGGAGTATACAACATGTATTAGTTTCCAAATACAAATATCAACTGGAGTTGAATCTGGTATTTTTTTTTAAAAAAGCATAAAAACACTCCTTGTCAAAAAATGGAGGCATTCAAGTATAGTCATTTATACCTGAAAATGTAAGGCTTAGACAAATACATACCCTCTAGTAAATCACTGAATTTATCTACAGAGAATGTTGGCTGTAAAGCTTCTGCCAAGAGACTTCTCTAGCAAAGTTTCCTTGACTCAGCTGTTAGATTAAGTCTTCGTAAACCTAACATTCCATTCACACAAAACATCTGATTTAAGCCTACAAAAGCCAGGCAAGTCAGAGTTAAAGAAGAATTCCCATGCCAAATTCTGTTCTCATGTAAACCTGTGAAATGCTTTTGATATGGTTGTAGCTTTCCTGGGCATAATGTGTCCTTTTGTATTCTTGACTGAGTTCTTGGAAACAGCTGAAGAGGTCTCTGTCCCTTTTCTCCCTATCCCCATCCTCGGCCCGGTCCTCCTCCAGAAAATCCTTCCTGGATCTTACATTGAGCCCTGTCTGTACTAAGGGACTTTGCAGGTTTAGTCAGTGCTGTGTGCCTCATTGTTGAGTCTCATACCTTGATTGAAGTAGCTCCCACTGACCAGGGACACAACACTGAGAGCAGAGCCTATTCCTTGTGCCCTTAAACTGTCTCACTGTGTCACAGGATTGTGGCTTATCTGTGACTGATTTATGAAAGCCCTAGATGGGGCAAAAGCCACATAAGGTTTTGGAGCTGCAGACCGAGGTAGCCCATGGGTCATAATATAAATAGCAAATGATAATGCAAACTACACATGCTTCAAGGGAAGGGGACCAATTCCTCCCTCAGCTGGGAAGTTATTGACTGTTTAGAGGCAGGAAGCTGATCATTTAAAAAGGGGAGGACATTCCATGGGAGGGGAGGTCCCTGCCTGTCCTGTACAAATAAACATAAACCAGATAATTTGCCACATGAGGTGGCCTAGCCACCTCAGTACGGGATTCCTGTCTGTATAGGATATCATGCTAAAATATATAGAGGTACAATTTAATTTCCTTTATGATTTATTTTCATAAATGTATATGTTTCTCTTAAAGAATCAGCCTGATCCAGAGGAGGGCTGAGCACCCACAATGCTTGTTGAAATCAGCAGGCCTAAGGCTGCTCCCATTGAAGTCAACAGCAAAACTTCCATCTACTTCAGGAGGAGTGAGCTAGGGCCCAAGGGGAGCTAAAGGTGTTCAGCACCTCTCAGAATCATGCCCCAAATGTGGTATGGAAGAGACTGAGGTCCATTCGTAGCCATGTCCCATCCAAATCTCCTCAACAAGAGTGCCATTCTTCACTCACTGTGTGTCATAATTTGAGCTGGGAAAAAAATTATTCTTTACACCCTTTTCCCTGTTCATCAATTGTTCAAGAACCAGTAATTCCCACAGACACGTGTAGGTGTGCCTGAAAATTGATGAATGCTTGACGCACAGATTTCAGCCTAGAGACTGCATCGAAACTCTTCTCTGCAAGTATCCAAAATTCAAGCAGTTCTGATTGCATATAAAGGTCACATGGTATATTTCTGTTCTATGGTGGGATGAAAGTACAGGAAGATTTTCAAAGCCTCAAAGAGCAGGTATGTGCCCAATTCCCATTGAAAGTCAATGAAAGTTGGGCATCTGACATCCCTTTGTGTCTTTTGAAAATCTCCCCCATAACTAGTAAAATCAATCTTTGGGTGCAAATACCCCAGTAACAAACTCACCAGTGACTTTCTGTGAGCATTCTGCAATATTTGTTCAATGTTCTGGTCTGGTGAGCATTTATTTGTTTGTAAATTTGAATACATTTCCATGCAAATATTTTTTGCCAGATCTAGTCTTGTTGCTGGTGCAGTGTGTGCTATTCACAACGGTAATACACAATGTTCTCTCATGTGAGTTTACATTCAGTGATATTTTGTGTGTTTGAGTCTTCTTTCTGCTGATCATCCAACACAACATCTCTGAAATAACAGAATGCACTTGTTTAATATGGATGTGTCGGACCCAGTCTTTTAAAAATGTTTAGTGAGAACAATGACCAATCGGATCAGATTTGGTTGGTAAACGTCCAGCCCAGAGCCATTTTTATCGCTGTTTTTATGAGACTTCTGAAAGTAATGGTTTACAATGGAACATCACCTAACGCAGTACTAGTAGGAATGGCTGTTATTGCCCCGTGGCCTTAAAACTGCTCTGAGCACTTTGTAGCTCTTTAAACCCTTATGGTTTCAAAGAGTAGCAAGGACTTAGGCATGCAGCCCTACCAGCTCCCCACCACAGAGCTCTAACATAGCTGATTATTGGGCCAAATCCTTCAGCCTTTTTTGAATATCTAGGGGTGAAAGTAATCGCCTGTTCCGCACGACTGCTATCATATCGCATGGTACTTTCCAGCAAAACAAGAGCTGAGCTGTCCCAAAGTGAGTTGTTTTATAAAGTTCAGGGTTAGATTGGCTGGTGGTTTTTTTGTTTGTTTGTTAATTTATTTACAGGTAGAAAGAAAGGAAAATAGCACCTTCTTAACCTATTTTTTGTGTATAAATATTAATAACCAAAATATATTTCTCCCAGTCTCATGTTTCAGAACATCGTCCTGGTAAAACTGTAGCACCGCAAAGAGACAGTTGAGCCCTAGACAAACATTAAAGGTAGCACCAGAGAAAGTACAGTTGTAAGAAAAGCATATCTCGCCTGGTGTCATAGAGCTTAATATACACACACACACACACTCTGTCTCTTGTCAAAACGGCTAAACACCCCTTTCCCACACCTCCCAAGACAAGCCGATGCCTATTTGCAGCAAATGCACTATCTGCTGGTATTCTTTAACCCTGGGTTTGCAAGTGATTTTTCACACTTCTACATTTAAAGGGGCAGATGCGTGCCGTGCCATACCATACCATAGACAATGCCTGGTGGGGAAAGTTTTAGCACTACAGCAAGGACATCACTAATCTTTTGACTCAAACTGCAGGAGCACAAGCGCTCAGACCACAGTCATCTAAAAGGAATGTTGCTTACGTTCTCAACAAGGCATGCATGTATTAACGTATGCTCTCTATATAAGCATGTATGTGTCTCTGTTTTGCTGCTGGGCACTTGAACAGCTCCTTCAGTACAAATCTTCTTTCACGTTGCTCCAGCCTCTTTTATCCTCCTCCTCTTCTTTCTCCATTCTTCATAGCTGCTGCTCAGACTCTGTACTCCCTGCAGGAAAAGGGGAAATGATTTTCTCCAAGGGTGCAGGGTTTTCTCCAGCCTGAGAAAGCAAAATAATTTGTTTTTCATTATATTGATGCAATGGTTAGCATAAAAGCATCTTCTAAATGCATGCATAAACCTTCCTGCTGATGCAAGAATTTACTGACCAGAGGCGTATGTAATTTATGGGGAAGACAGCTTTGTGGTTAAATCACAGGAGAACAAGAGATCTGGCTTTTATTCACAGTGCTACCACAAATCCTGTGTGGCTTTAATTTTGGCTGTCCCAAAGAAGACACCCAGTCTTCTTGGGTGTCCAGCTTCAGATGAGTTAAATGTTAACTTTTAGAGAAACAACTAACTGTTACAGGAAAGCACTGTGGTCTATTGATAATTGCAGCACTCCTGGGTTCTAGTCCTGTTCTGCCACTGATTTGACTTGCGGCCTTGGGCAAATCACTTAATGCCTCTGTTTTTCACGTTCACTGTAACATCAGGGCAGTGTCGTCCTAGGGCACATGTGCTCATTGATAAAGGCATTTTCAAGTGTAAATCCCAGTTCTCAAGAGCAGATTGTGGAAAAACTCTTAAAATAAAGAGTTTCTATGTCATATTTGCATCTCCAGTATTTCAGTTGGCAGAGAGCCAGCACAAGGTCTACACACTTTTTAAGTCTCATTAATACCCGTTATGGGGCCTTTAAGGGACTTAAGAGGTTCATAGCTCTCAGATCCCAGAGCGCTTCCTGCAGCTCCCATTGTCTGGGAACGGTGAACCGCAGCCACTGGGAGCTGTGGGCGGCCGTGCAATTGTAAATAAGCGGTCTGGCGGCTCGCCAGTGGATTACCGTGACAGGCCGCATGCGGCCCGTTGTCCGCAGATTGCCCCCCACTGTCCCAGCGTGATGGGTGACCTCATAAAATCCTCAATAGGTAAATCTATGCTGGCCCTCTGTATCGGATGAATTTCACAAGTGTGAGTAGTAAAATATCCAACGATGTCAACTATGAGAGAGTAATTTGGGTTGACAGTTTGTTATGGGGCAGATTCTGGTCTAAGTTACTAATGGAAATCCAGAGTAACTCCATGGCTTCTGTACTGTTACTTTGTATTTACATGTACATATATATATACACATGATCCAAATCTGACCCTAGATCTTTTCCATTAAGGAAACTGGTCAAATCCTCATGCTGCAAATGACTGCTGAGTAACTCCTGAACTCATGCTCTGTTTCAGCAACAAGAGATTGGTGTGTTTCCACAGAAACAGAACAATTTCCACAAAGTCTCAGAGGTCCCTGTCTACATGGAACTTCAGCAATTACTCCCTTCTCTACCTATCCCTATCCATGGCTCCTGCTGTCAGACTAAAGTATCTAAAGCAACCGTGAACAAAGCTAGAAGGACTAAGTCCAAATTGAATCAGCCAGGACTGAAACACCAGTCAAATGGTTAGGCCACCCACAGGAAGCAATGCAAGTTGCCTGACCTATGATACCTGCGTGTGCACACATACACACACACACACACACGGAGGTGCCTAAACCTTCACCTTTTCTGCAGATCTGCTTATGCTGTAGGAACTTTTTTCTGGTGGGGAAAAGGGGGAAAGGTGTTTAGTGCTCAAGGGAATGGGAGCATGATAATACTGGCTTAGGGAATGTCTACACTGCAGTGAGACACCGTGGCTGGCCCGGGCCAGCTGATTCGGGCTAAGGGGCTCTTGCTAGGGGGTTGTTTAACTGCAGGTATGAACACACAGCTCACTTCAGTGCTTCTGACCTTGTGAGGGACACAACTGTTACTCCGGCCTTGGGTTCCTACACATGCTGTCAATGCACCTCAGCCCTGGCTTGTAGAACTCCTGTCAATTTTATTTCTAGGCTTCTGCTGAGCAGAGACTAGCCACTATGCAGTGGCTTTTTGTGTGTGTGCGAACAATCACCGTGGATTAGCCTGAGACCACCTCGGCCACCTGCACTGTGATTTAAAACACATTTGAACCCAAGTCTTCAGACGTCAAAGGGTGAACTTCATAGGGGTGAGGAAAAAAATCAAGGAAAAATCTTGGAGGAGATGAGATTCAGAGAAATGTCTGTGCAGGATTAAATAAACTGAAGTGGAATCTTTGCCTGAGTAAAATCCAAATAAGGGTGTTAGGATTTTCCTGAAGTTTTACAAAAGGACTTTACTTGTGCTCTTGTAGCACCTAGAGACCACAACCAAGGATCATTGCCCCACTATGCTAGATGCTGTACAAACATATAGCATGAGACAGCCCATCCCCTGAAGAGGTTACATTCCACAAACATTTTTTCTCTTTCCCCTAAACAGCAGAAAACATTCACAAAGTTTTAAAGGTTTTTGAATTCAAAAACTCATTAAGCTCCAAGGGAGAAATTTACCCCTGTGTAGAGAAAGAACCAGCACAATGCTTGTTCACCACGTAAGCCCTGTTTTGAGGGCTTAAGTGCAACTTAAGTTTTGCATAGGCTTCTTGCTGGCTCTCTGCATAGGGGTGAATTTCACCCAAAGAGTAAAGGAGAGCCCCAGAATCCTGGCCTAAATCCCATCTCTCAATAAAACAACTTTGAATATCAAAGGCTGTGTTGAAGCCATTACTTGGTGCATATTGGCTGCATTGCCAGTATCTGACTCATTAATGGAATATGCTTTGAGCCAAATTCTGATCTCATTTGCAGCACTGTAAATACAGGGCAACTCAAATTGACTTCAGTTGAGTTACTCCAATTTTGCCACAATAGCACTTAGCAAATTGGAATTTAGACCTTTGAGTATGAAAGGGACTGTATAAAGCCAAACTCCACCCCATATGTAATATTGGTGTGGTTACCAGGAGGGAGTGCCAGCATGTCCTCTCTGTAGAGAGGGTCAAAAAATGTTCATAGCAATTTTTTAAAAATGAAAAATGGCTTTTTTTTGACATTTTGTCAAATGTTTTCAGGTTTTTATCGGAAAACCAAAATTTTCTTGGGTTTCCAAAAACTGAAATATTTTTTGTTTTCAACAAAAAAAACCCAAAATTGTGTGAAAAAAATTATGGAAATTAAAAATTTTCATTTCCTTTGATATTTTTCATGGAAACTAAAATGCATTTTTGTCTTGTACCTCCCTGTCTAGCCACTTAAGGATGCTCGAATTCTCGTCAGAACCTAGAATCATAGAAATGTATGGCTGGAAGTGACCTCAAGAAGGCATCCAGTCCAGCCCCCGGCAGTGAGGCAGGACCGAGTAAACCTAGACCATCCCATACAGTTGTTTGTCCAACCTGTTCTTAAAAACCTCCAGTGACAGAGATTCCACAACCTCCCTTGGAAGCCTGCTCCAGAGTTCAACTACCTTTCTAGTTAGAAAGTGTTTCCTAGCGTCTAATTTAAATCTCCCTTGCTGCAGATTAAGCCCATTCTTGTCCTATCTTCAGCGGACATGGAGAACAATTGATCCCTGTCCTCTTTATAACAGCCCTTAACTTAGCTGAAGACTGTTATCGGAGCCCACCAGCCTTCTTTTCTCCAGACTAAACATGCCCCGTTTTTTTAACCTTTCCTCATAGGTCAGTTTTTCTAAACCTTTTCTCATTTTTGTTCCTCTCCTCTGGACACTCTAGTTTGTCCAAACTTTTCTAAAGTGTAGTGCCTGGAACTGGACACAATAGTCCAGCTGAGGCCTCACCAGTGCTAAGTGGAGTGGGACAATCTGCAATTTACCTTCCATGTCTTACATACAATGGTCCTATTAATACACCCCAGAATATTAGCCTTTTCCCCTAGCTGCATCACATTGTTGACATTCAGTCTGTGATCCACTCTAGCCCCCAGAGCCTTTTCAGAAGTAGCACCAGCTATCCAATTATTCCACATTTTGTAGTTGTGCATTTGATTTTTCGTTCTTAAGTGAAGTACTTTGCACTTGTCTTTATTGAATTGAGTTCAGACCAATTCTCCAATTTGTGAAGGTCATTTGGAATTATAATTCTGTGTTCCAAAGTGCTCGCAACACCTTCCAGCTTGATGTCATCCTTAAACTTTATAAGTATACTCTCCACTCCATTATCCAAGTCATTAATGAAAATATTAAATTGTACTGGACCAAGAATGACCCCTTTGGGACCCCACTAGATACACCCTCCCAGTTTGACAATAAATCATTGATAACTCCTCTTTCAGCCAGCTGTGCACCAACCTTATAGTAATTTCATTTAGACTGCCTTTCCTTAGTTTGCTTATGAGAATGTCATGTGGGACTGTGTCAAAAGCCTTACTAAAATCAAGATATATCACATCTACCACTTTCCCCATATTCGCTAGGCCAGTAACCCTGTCAAAGAAGGAAATTAGTTTGGTTTGGTATGATTTGTTCTTGACAAATCCATGCTGGCTATTCCTTATAATCCTATTATCCTCTAGATGCTTACAAACTGATTGTTTAATAAGTTGTTCCAATATCTTTCTAGGTATCAAGTAAAGCAGACTGACCTGTAATTCCCTGGTTCCTCTTTGTTCCCCTTTTTAAAGATAGGTACTGTGTTTGGTCTTTTCCAGTGCTCTGGGATCTCAGATGTCCTCCATGAGTTCTTGAAGATAATTGCTAACGGTTCTGAGATTGCTTCAGCTAGTTCCTTAAGTATACTGGGATGAATTCATTAGGCCCTGCCAACTTGAATACATCTAATTTATCTAAATATTCTTTGACCTGTTCTTTCCCATTCTGGCTTGTATTCCTTCCTCCTTGTTGTTAATACTGTATTGAGTATTTGGAAACCATTAACCTTTTTAATGAGGGCTGAAACAAAATAGACATTAAACACCTCAGCCTTCTTGATATCATCAGTTATTAGCTCTCCTTCCCCACTCAGTAGATGACCTTTACTTTCCTTCATCTTTCTCTTGCTCCTAATGTATTTGACAAACCTCTTCTTATTGCCTTTTATGTCCCTTGGTAGGTGTAACTCATTTTGTGCCTTAGCCTTTCTGAATTTGTCCCTACTTGTGCTATTCTTTTTTACTCCTTAGCAGTGCATCCACTTTTTGTAGGA